TTACTATCAACGACGGGCGACGTGTACCTTGGACGTTTTCACTACCAAGGAAATTGACCAAGGCAGCCTCACTTGACAGACGGGTAAAGCGTCCAGTCCTTCCATGCATCAGAACTGACAATTCCGAGTAAAGCCACAAAAAGAGGATAATCTCACTTCACTGTAGCCCATACACATCCAGCGTTTTCGATATGACCGTTAGCGGAGCGATGCAATTTTGCCCAACCATGATCACCCCAGTTCGTACCAAACGCGAAACGGGCGATCCAGTACGGCGTTCCTGAGCATAGACAGAAATATTTGTCCGCTTTCCTCGGCTTAGTCCAGCAGTTTCCACACTCCAAATTTCGAGTACAAGTGTACAGAGAACAATTAAAATTTCACTAAATTTCCCCTAAATTTTCACACTAATTGTGAAAGGTCACAAACAAATTTGCATAGAAGTGTACAGAAAAACAATTAGAATTTTACTAAATTCAATTAAAATTTCCCCCAAAATTTCCCCATCATGACCGACACATGTGCATATTTTCTCATATAAACGACCAAATTCCCGTCAAACTCACCATCATCATCTACACCCCATCCCGCGATTTCAGCAGCATGGTTGGGCTCAGTGGAGTCGTCCGTGGCCGAGAAGGTCCAAATTGCTCCCGCACGGTAACTGTGATAAGGACTGTAATGCTCCACATAGCAGTAGCAGCTACGGCGTACTTCGAGCGGAAAGCCTCATCAACATGCATGTGGCACACTACTGGTCCACGGGCTTTGATTTCAGATTGAATCTCAGCCTCGCCAGAAACTGTGCCAAATTCATCTACGTGAAATATGTCATATTTTTTCGGTATTTCGCATGCACCATTAGCAGAACAAGTACTACACCTGAAAAAAACACACATCTAACAAAATGAAATTTCGCACTCACGACTCGTGAGTGCGAAATTTCATTTTGTGAAATTCAGTTTTGTGAAATTCAGTTTTGTGAAATTCAGTCCATTTTGTTCACGATTCGCGTTTTTCATTTTATGAAATTTTCACATTTTTCCTCGTGAATCTCAAGAGCAATAACTACTTACACAGTAGAACCAAGACAGATATCACCAGTGTCGTGGCCTCTAGCTGTGAAAGGGGAACACGTTTCATCAGTGATACCTTTTTCCTTAATCTGAACACAAAAATGAAAAAAAATTCCGAAAAAACACGAAAAAAATTTTTCCCTACATATCGCATTGCATCAATAACTCCTCCACCTCGGCAACCGTTCCCGATTTCATAACCACATGTTAAAAGCGGTTGAGGCGACAAGTTGACCTCGGGGAACGCGGCATTTCGTTGAATCTTTATTCGGTCAGATAGGGCATGCACGGTGGCGAAGGCCCAGCAGCCGGAGCACGCTCTGAAATAATAGACAAAATGAAAATTCTGAGGAAATTTTGGGAATTTTTCTGTGCACCAAGTCGCGTGTAAACCTATATAATTAGTGAGGAAACTCCTAAGCTCAGTTGAGGAAAGCGAACATATATTCCTCCAACACTCCTGTGATTTTCCTCTCAGGTGGTGCTACCTTGGATTGGAATAACTACGATCAGTAGTCACCATGTTTTCGCCATCGACATCTCGCCAGTCCCAACTAGTGGGGAGGTCTTTTGCCTGACAAAACGAATCTTCCTAGTGAGCACGAAAGGCCACATTCGGGCCTAATCCGCATCTTGTTTGGCGACCTCAAAGATATTCAACGTATCTTACCGAAAACCGCGGCAATGTGGTGTAAACTTCCTCTGTAGTGTTGCGTGCTTTCAAAGCGCAAGGAGCGATGAAACGCGTCTCAGCGATGTAAAGTACACTTGACGTGAATGTTAGGATAAACCGCAGCATTTGAT